ATAAATAATAAATAAAATAATTTCAAACATAACTTATACTAACTTCAATATTATAGGATAATTTCGAAAGTATTCATAAAAGTAAAAATGAAGGTGAATATGAAGGCAAATATGAAAGTGAAGATGATTTATATAATGTTGAGATTAAAGATATATCTTTAACTAGCAATGCTAATTATTTCCGCAGACCTTTTTTTGAGAACATAAAATTATCTGAAAATACTAAAAATTACTTATTTAATAATGATATTTGTGAAAGGGACCTATTAAATTTCTTAATAAAGCATATGGCAATTTAATGACTCTTATTACAATATATAATTTATCCAATAAAGTTGATAATGCTGTAATTTATTTTTAATGAGAATTCCAATTTTCCTTTATCTTCTCTTTCAAAAAATATCAACTAAGGACGTGAATTAATGGAAAAAATAAAAATTTTCACTTTGACATTTGAAAAATACAAGATTTTTACTCATAACAATATAAATTATTACTTATTTTATTGTCCTATTCTCAATTGTATTAAAAATATTTTATTTATTTATGACATATCACAAAATTTTACATTAAACTTCAAAAATTTTAAAGTAGATTAAATCTATATAAACTAATTCAAGTATTGAAAATAATATTAACTATATTATTTTGTAATATAGTATAAAGGTAAAAAGGCTTACGACAAATAATATGCAGAAAATTAGTAAAAAAATATTGAAACTTCTTTACCATCTGGTTCAAAACTTTTATTTATAATACTTTATTCTGATGTTACCACTACTGATATTTTGGATAAATCCTCTTTGTTTCTTATCTACATTTCAATTGGAAATATTTCAATTAACAGATGTAATAAATTTGATGCAAAATAATTGCTTGAATACCTTTCTATCTTAACAACAAAAAATCAATCTAAAAGACAATCTGAAGACTTCAAAAAATTAATACAACTAGTCTTCTATGATTCAATTAAATTTTTATTAGATTCTTTATTTGTAAAAAATGATATTGATCTAGAAATTGGTACTTAAACAATTTGATTTTTTTCTCATATATCAACAATTATATGTGATTGGCCAGAAGCTATCACATTTAGTTTAGTATATAAATTAACTAATTCAAACTTTCTTTACTATTTTTATTTAATTTTGAAGATATTATTAGCAAATACCAATTTGCCTAATAACTGTGTAACTCTTCGTAATAATAAAAATATCCATGAATTCTTTTATAATAATATTGAACAGGATGTGAGTTTGAAAAATATCCTTAATTATTTTTAGTCTTTATCAAGTATAAATATATATACAGCAACAGTTTCAAACAGAATGTACTATTTGAACTTGGGACTATTTCACTATCAAATAGAATTTACTCAAACACAAGATAGTTCATTAGTCAATGAAATAGATTATAAACTTTCAGAAATTTCACAATTTCAAGAGTTAAAAATATTCACTAATGGACTTTAATTAATCTCTAGAATGACTGCAAAAAAATATCGAATTTTAATAAAAGTAATGATATTTGTAATAGATAACTTATATAAAGAAAATAAAAATAATATTGAAGATTTTGTTAAAAATAAAAATTATCAGAAATATATATAAAATGAAATCAAATATACATGATAAGCAGATCAGAAGTATTTACAAAAAGTGATCTCGAAAATTTTCAGATGAGTTATTAAAAAATTAAGATCTTAATTTTACAAATTATATGTTAAATAATTTTATTTTTCAGAAGGATACTTTTAAATAGGTAAAATTATTTATTAAAATATTTAAACCATATTCATGTTCTGATTTAAAATTTTCAAAATTTCATTTATAGATTTACCATATCTTTGAATCACATCAAGTTTCCTTTTCATTCTTTGATATACTTGTGTACAGCTTTTCGTAACATTCTTTAACTATACATTTTTCTTTTTAATTTTTAATCTCACTTGGTGATGCCTTCATAGTTATTTATAAAGATTTCGAAATACTGCAAATATTAAATTTTAATTTGCGAAAAAATAATTCCTTTTCTTGACTAATGTCTTTCTATTAATTTTAAATAATTCAAAATCTTTTGTCAATTATTAGAGCATTTAAATTATAATGTAATTTGATAAAATTTATTTTTTTTTGAATAGTTAAATTATAATAAAATGTCTAGTATTTGTCATTCCAATTTTCAAAAAGTTCTGGATATTTTTGAATAATATAGTTCGCAACAATTGTTTCAATACTTCATCACTTGATAAATTGTTTTCAAAATTATCTTGTTCACAATTTTGTTAACAATTTTCTTTTTTTTTTTAGAATATTAAGAATATTATGAGCAAAATAATTTTTTTTGTAAAGAAAATAAATAAATTATTTATATTGACAAAAGTTGAATTGTATATCACATTCCATAATTTATTATTTTCAATTTTTTTTCAAATATTAATCATTTCTTTTTGTAAGTTTTTGACTTTCTTATCTTTTTCTTTTTTGTCAATGGTTCTTCTTCTTTTAATAAAATAAATTATATATTATAAAATATTTTTATTAAATATTTTAATATGAAAATTTTTAAAAAATTACCATCAGAATGTCAGTCTTCTTTTCCTATTTCTATTCTTCTTCGTTTTCTTACTTGTGATGATGGAGATATTCATTTTTCATTATCATTTAATATCAACACATCTTCTATTTCAGGCTTTCCTCTTATAAGTAATTGTGTTGATGTTACTGTTGACGTTGATTCTGTTATCAGAGTAAATACTGCTTGTGCTGAAGTTTTTTTTTTTACTTTAGTGAAACTTGATCTTCCATATAAAAGACTAGAAATTCTACTTTTATCTCTTTTTTATTTTTTTTTGATAAAAGCTAATTAAAGTTCTTTGTAATATTTTGAAAATTTTTAAATATTCTAAAATTTATTTTATGAAAATAAAGAATTTTAATCCTTTATATATATATATTTTTCTATCTCATTTTTTCAGAATTTAAAATAATTCAAATATTTCCAAAATATATCATTATATTTCATTTTACATATATATTATCTTTCATTAGATATCAATTCTTCTTTTCTTTTTTTGATACATCATGATATTATTTCTAATTAATTATATAAATATTGAATATGTAATTATAAAATAAAATTTACTTTTGATATGACATGAAAGATAATATTATTGAATATTTTTATATGCATGTGTATATACATTAAATGAGTTATTATTAGTGATACATCTTTCATTATATTACAAAACATTGTATATATTGTCTATGGATTTATTAAAAATTTATTAATTAAATTTTTACATATTGAAAAATAACATCTATTATTTTAAAAAATAAATATGAATACTTTTTGAAACAAATTAAAATAATAAAAAAAGAAATGAAATAAACTTCATTGTTAAAATAAATATAAAAGTAAAAAGCGAAATATTGTATTATATACAATATGAAATTTTATTGATATATAATTATAATACAGATTTTATAATATAATACAAATAATACAAATATATAACTTCTATTTCTATAAAATTGTACACTTTCAACAAGTTTAAAATCATATATTATACACAAGATACAATAGTAGTTGATTGAATTTCTATATTTATTATAAATAAACCTGTGCATAACAAGTTATAACGAATTTTAACTATATTGCTAATATCCTTCGTAACAATTTTAATTGATATTGTATTATTAACAAATATCTTTTGAAGTTTATATCATTGCATTTTAATTGATATCAATATCTTTTAAAGTTTATCATATCGTTAATTATCATTTCAAATTTTTTTCGAAGATTAATATTTTTTTTGTTTGTATAACAAGATCAGTTATCTCATATGATTTATTATTTAACTATATATTCTTTTGTTTATTTTCAGAATAACTACTTTTACTCTCTCTAAACAATCCATACGAAACTCTTCGAAAAGAAATA